ATTTTTTCTTCAACAATCATTGTAACTCCTCTAATAGATTTTGAAATTGCTATCAGGATTACAGAAACACAAGGAGGTGTCTTTCGGACTTTACTGACAGAATTTTTATTAAATAATCGTTGTGTCAGGATCGCAAAAGTACAGTAATTTATTGATGAATACCTCCGGTTCTTTACTCTCCTAATAGATCTTGAAATTACTATCAGGATTATAGAAACACAAGAGGTGTTTTCTTGACTTTCCTGACTCTGACCACTTTTCCTGAATCGTATCAGGATCGCAAAAGCACAGCAATTTATTGACGAAGACCCCCTCAGGTACATTAACAAACACAAGGAGGTGCCTTTCAGCTCCTCAGGCACTGAAGTTCCTGACTTTTGTGATAGAATTTTTTTTCAACAATCGTTGAATTTGGTATCAGGATTACAGAATCACAAAGCGGTATCAGGATCTCAGAAAGACAAGCAGATCTTTTGAGGACATAATTTATCGTAATTTATAGACTTATATTCTTTATGACCTTAAGAGACATTTTTTACCTTGAATCAGGATTACAGAAAGACAAGGATGTGTATTTGAGGAATTATTTTATTGCTGAAGACTTCCTCATTTTTTTACTCGTCTGTCTTTTAAAACTTGTAGCAGGATCACGGAAAAACCACGAGTTGTGCTCTTTAGGAAAGAATGTTTGACAAAGATATCACGTTCTCTACTTACCTCATACATAATTTTTTAAAACTTGTCAGGATTATAGACAAACAAGGAGGTGTTATTTAGAAAAACGAAAAGCATCTCACGTTTTTTGTCTAACAACATTTTTTCCGTAATTGTATCAGGACCGCAGCGATTTTTGTCGGAGATTTATTGACTCAAGATCTCCTTACCAGGACTACAGAAAAGCAAGGAGGCTTTATTTAGAAAATATTCTTTACTTCTGTAACAGAAAGTAGGTACTGGTTCAATAATTGTTGTATCAGGATCACAAAATGACGGTAATGTGGTTTTTAAGAAATAATTTATTGCCGAAACCCTCCTTACGTTCTTTACCTATTCTCCTAGTGGAAATTTCATTTTTAAAACTTGCATCAGGATCACACAAAGACCATGAGGTGTTTTTGAGAAATTCCTATTTGTCGACTCTCCGGATAAAAATTTCCTGTTCAACAATTGTATTCGAATTTCAGAAAGACGAGGAGGTTTGTTTACTAACGAATTTATTGATCTCCTAATAAAAAAAAATGTCAGAACTTTTATCGGGATTACAGAAAGCCAAGGCGTGTTTTAAGCTCGGTTTTAGGTTATAAAAAATTAAATTTATTGAAGACCTCTTCACGTTCTTTATTCCTCTAATAGAAGTTTCGGCCACGTAGACAGACAAGGACGTGGGGTTTACTATTTCTAACATCAATCCTAAGAATATCTAAGAATAGGATAGAAATTGTCTCTTTCTGGTCAGAGAAATGCAGGGAGATATATTTAGGAAGTAATTTACTGATAAAGGCTCTTATGTTATCTACTCTCCTATTAGAAATTTTTGGTTTAACAATCATTGTATCAGGATTTCAGAGAGAGAGAGAGAGAGAGGAAATAATTTCTTTTACTCTCCTAATAGAAATTTGTTTTTACAACTCTCTGGCAGGATCACAGAAAGACAAAAAAGTGTGTTTTTTTAGTATTAATTTATTGAGGAAGAGGTGCTCACGGTCTTTACTCTCCTCATAGAGATTAAAGTGTGTTTTTTTAGTATTAATTTATTGAGGAAGAGGTGCTCACGGTCTTTACTCTCCTCATAGAGATTTTTTCTTCAAAAGTTGTATCAGGATTTCAGAGAGAGAGAGAGAGGAAATAATTTCTTTTACTCTCCTAATAGAAATTTGTTTTTACAACTTTCTCTGGCAGGATTACAACAAAAAGGTGTGTTTTTTAGAATTAATTTATTGAGGAAAAGGTGCTCACGGTCTTTACTCTCCTCATAGAGATTTCTTCTTCAAAAGTTGTATCAGGATTTCAGAGAGAGAGAAATAATGTCTTTTACTCTCCTAATAGAAATTTGTTTTTACAACTTTCTCTGGCAGGATCACAGAAAGACAAAAAGGTGTGTTTTTTTTAGAATTAATTTATTGAGGAAGAGGTGCTCACGGTCTTTACTCTCCTCATAGAGATTTCTTCTTCAAAAGTTGTATCAGGATTTCAGAGAGAGAGGAAATAATGTCTTTTACTCTCCTATTAGAAATTTGTTTTTACAACTTTCTCTGGCAGGATCACAGAAAGACAAAAAGGTGTGTTTTTTTAGAATTAATTTATTGAGGAAGAGGTGCTCACGGTCTTTACTCTCCTCATAGAGATTTCTTCTTCAAAAGTTGTATCAGGATTTCAGAGAGAGAGGAAATAATGTCTTTTACTCTCCTAATAGAAATTTGTTTTTACAACTTTCTCTGGCAGGATCACAGAAAGACAAAAAGGTGTGTTTTTTTAGAATTAATTTATTGAGGAAGAGGTGCTCACGGTCTTTACTCTCCTCATAGAGATTTCTTCTTCAAAAGTTGTATCAGGATTTCAGAGAGAGAGAGAGAGAGAGAGGAAATAATTTCTTTTACTCTCCTAATAAAAATTTGTTTTTACAACTTTCTCTGGCAGGATTACAACAAAAAGGTGTGTTTTTTAGAATTAATTTATTGAGGAAAAGGTGCTCACGGTCTTTACTCTCCTCATAGAGATTTCTTCTTCAAAAGTTGTATCAGGATTTCAGAGAGAGAGAGGAAATAATGTCTTTTACTCTCCTAATAGAAATTTGTTTTTACAACTTTCTCTGGCAGGATCACAGAAAGACAAAAGGTGTGTTTTTTTTAGAATTAATTTATTGAGGAAGAGGTGCTCACGGTCTTTACTCTCCTCATAGAGATTTCTTCTTCAAAAGTTGTATCAGGATTTCAGAGAGAGAGGAAATAATGTCTTTTACTCTCCTATTAGAAATTTGTTTTTACAACTTTCTCTGGCAGGATTACAACAAAAAGGTGTGTTTTTTAGAATTAATTTATTGAGGAAAAGGTGCTCACGGTCTTTACTCTCCTCATAGAGATTTCTTCTTCAAAAGTTGTATCAGGATTTCAGAGAGAGAGGAAATAATGTCTTTTACTCTCCTAATAGAAATTTGTTTTTACAACTTTCTCTGGCAGGATCACAGAAAGACAAAAAGGTGTGTTTTTTTTAGAATTAATTTATTGAGGAAGAGGTGCTCACGGTCTTTACTCTCCTCATAGAGATTTCTTCTTCAAAAGTTGTATCAGGATTTCAGAGAGAGAGAGAGAGAAATAATTTCTTTTACTCTCCTAATAGAAATTTGTTTTTACAACTTTCTCTGGCAGGATTACAACAAAAAGGTGTGTTTTTTAGAATTAATTTATTGAGGAAAAGGTGCTCACGGTCTTTACTCTCCTCATAGAGATTTCTTCTTCAAAAGTTGTATCAGGATTTCAGAGAGAGAGGAAATAATGTCTTTTACTCTCCTAATAGAAATTTGTTTTTACAACTTTCTCTGGCAGGATCACAGAAAGACAAAAAGGTGTGTTTTTTTAGAATTAATTTATTGAGGAAGAGGTGCTCACGGTCTTTACTCTCCTCATAGAGATTTCTTCTTCAAAAGTTGTATCAGGATTTCAGAGAGAGAGAGAGAGAGAGAGGAAATAATTTCTTGTATTCTCCTAATAGAAATTTGTTTTTACAACTTTCTCTGGCAGGATCACAGAAAGACAAAAAGGTGTGTTTTTTTAGAATTAATTCATTGAGGAAGAGGTGCTCACGGTCTTTACTCTCCTCATAGAGATTTCTTCTTCAAAAGTTGTATCAGGATCTCAGAGAGGTAAGATTATTCTTGTTTCTCAAAAGTTGCACAAACAATTACCTGAAATGGACACATCACCCTTGCTGGGGCTCTGTCATCTTACATTCCACTTGATAGAGGCTCTGCGTTTAAAAAAGTTTGAGAAACGCTGCCCTAGAATAATGACAAAAACTGATTGTAAAGGTCTTGGGGAGAGGATGCATCACTGGGTAACACTCAAAAGCTTTTTTTCCTGGGGGGTATTCCCCCCAGACGCACTGCAGCAGAATTTCTAATGAGCAGGATCGCAGAGATGTTTTTAGGAGATAATTGAATTTCTTTTTTCCGCTAATAGAAATTTCTTTTTTAAAAATTATCAGGATCTCAGAAAGACAAGGAGGTGTTATTTAGTAACGTTTTTACTTTACCTTTATGTATTTCACTAATAGAAATGTCTCTTTCTTTACTCTCTCAATGTTTGTTGAATGAGGATCACAGAAATACAACGAAATAATTTATTGGCGAAGACCTCCTCACGTTCCCTTTCTTTTTGATTTTTCTATTTAAGATTTCGTGTTTATCGGGATCACAGGAATACAATGATATTTTTTGTCGACGACGTGTTCACTTTCGTTACTCCCCTAATAGAAATTGCTTCTTTAAAACTTGTATCAGGATCGTAGAAAGACAGGGGGGGTATTTTTTTTTAGGAAATAACGAAGATCTTCATCGCACTCTCTTCATAGGCGATTTTTGCTGTAAACTTAGGATCACTTTTTTGAATCTTAGACTCTTTCGAAATGTTTCTAGGAATTTTAGTATTTTTAGCAAATCTTCTAAAAGAATTTCCTTATAAATAGGATTTTTTTACCGGTTTTTAAAGTCAGCGTAGAAATTCAACTATTCCTGGGAATTTTCTGAACAATATTTTTAGAGAAAATTTCTTGAAAATCTTTTTGGGAAACGGAAATTTATGGAAACTTTTTAAGCAACTTCAGGCGTCTCTTTTAAATTGAGTTCGGTTTGCAACACTTTCAGTTCAATAAAAAGTTAGTTCTTGATTTGTTTTTTTTATTAATACCATACCTACTACCTACCGATGATTAAATCCAGCAATAATTGATTGGTGACGAAACAGATTAAATTGAATTGGAAATTGCGCGCACGTTACTCATTTTATCAGAAGTCGTCGTATCCGCCGGGTAGCTAAAGTGTGGAAAATCGTTCGCGTAAATAATAATAAATAAGCGTGCGGACCGCGGTCGACGATCTTGACATCGAAGTTTTCATGACCCACATTCAATTAACCGCCTTTATCCAGCTTTTTGTAACAAAGAAAAACTTCAACGGAACTTGGATTTCTACGACCTCGCCCGTGTATCTTATCAACAGGTAGTTTTGATGAAGTCATCAGTCATCACCGCGCGCGCGATTAAAATTCCAAAAAGTGAAAGTGGGCAATTAACGCCAAGAAAAATTGATTAGCCGCTCATTGATTTCGCGCGACGCGAGGGGGGGAGGCACCTGATAAAAGAATGTAACGTAATCGCCTGCTTCATACAAATATTGAACTTTGCTACCCTACTTCCTGGTTTAATATAACAATTCGTGTCAGTGTAATTTTTAGTTAGTCATCTGCTATGAGCGACGACTCATTATCCGTTTAGTGCTCGAACCTCGCGCGCGCGTCAAAATGGACGAAGATTTCGAAAAGATTTATCAGGAGATTGAGGATCACTACAACATCGAGTTGAGACAGGACTCGATTCGGAAGAGTTGGGAGAATTACTGGGCTTGGTCGGTTTTTTGTTGTTGCATGCTGCATGTTGTCCCCTGGCTCGGCTGGCAAACGTTAACAGTCTCTCTTTTTTTAGTGAGCAGTCGATCGCAAGTGCTCGTGCTAGTGTTATGGTCTACGACGATGTTAACAAAAAATGGGTTCCGTCGGGCTCGTCTTCGGGACTGTCCAAGGTGCACATCTACCAGCACACCGTACAGCAAACCTTTCGGGTGGTCGGACGAAAATTGCAAGATCACGAGGTACAGTACCATCGTTCCGGTTGTCCTACATGAGACTAACGAAGTTTTGTAGGTTGTCATCAACTGTGCCATTTTAAAAGGACTGAAATACAACCAGGCGACCGCGACGTTTCACCAGTGGCGAGACAATAAACACGTTTACGGACTGAATTTCAGCTCGAAAGAGGATGCCGATCAATTTGCACGGGCCATGTTTCACTCTTTAGAAGTAAGTACAGGATCTCGCAGAATTAATGGCTCTTGGATGGTGAAACCGTAAATGTTTTTTATTTTAAATAAATGGATTGGCTGGTTTGTCCAGACTGCAGGGTTGCAAGAAACGGGTTCTTTTCTTATTTTGTTATACCATAAGAGTTTCTCGTTGCATTACAGTTTAGAAGAACTGAGATTGTCTAAAAGGGTTTTTAATTACGTTACGACGTCACAAAGATGGCCGCCGGGCTCAAATTGTAGTTTACCATTCCAAAGTTTGGTTTCATTCGGAAAGAGTAATAGAATCATAATAAAGCTAGGATCAATGTTTGAGATGATACTTTGTGAAATTCGGTATTTTAATTACGTTAAGACGTCACAAAGATGGCCGCCGGGCTGAAATTGTAGTTTACCATTCCAAAGTTTGGTTTCATTCGGAAAGAGTAATAGAATCATACTAATTTTGATTCTGCATAAAGCTAGGATCAATGTTTGAGATGATACTTTGTGAAATTCGGTATTTTATTTACGTTAAGACGTCACAAAGATGGCCGCCGGGCTGAAATTGTAGTTTACCATTCCAAAGTTTGGTTTCATGTGGAAAGAGTAATAGAATCATAATAAAGCTAGGATCAATGTTTGAGATGATACTTTGTGAAATTCGGTATTTTAATTACGTTAAGACGTCACAAAGATGGCCGCCGGGCTAAAATTGTAGTTTACCATTCCAAAGTTTGGTTTCATTCGGAAAGAGTAATAGAATCATACAAATTTTGATTCTGCATAAAGCTAGGATCAATGTTTGAGATGATACTTTGTGAAATTCGGTATTTTAATTACGTTACGACGTCACAAAGATGGCCGCCGGGCTAAAATTGTAGTTTACCATTCCAAAGTTTGGTTTCATTTGGAAAGAGTAATAGGATCGTACAAATTTTGATTCAGCATAAAGCTAGGATCAATGTTTGAGATGATACTTTGTGAAATTCGGTATTTTAATTACGTTACGACGTCACAAAGATGGCCGCCGGGCTCAAATTGTAGTTTACCATTCCAAAGTTTGGTTTCATTTGGAAAGAGTAATAGGAATCATACAAATTTTGATTCAGCATAAAGCTAGGACCAATGTTTGAGATGATACTTTGTGAAATTTGGTATTTTAATTACGTTACGACGTCACAAAGATGGCCGCCGGGCTAAAATTGTAGTTTACCATTCCAAAGTTTGGTTTCATTTGGAAAGAGTGATAGGATCATACAAATTTTGATTCAGCATAAAGCTGGGATCAGTGTTTGAGATGATACTTTGTGAAATTTGGTATTTTAATTAATTACGTCACGACGTCACAAAGATGGCCGCCGGGCTCAAATTGTAGTTTACCATTCCAAAGTCTGGTTTCATTTGGAAAGAGTAATGGAATCATACAAATTTTGATTCGGCATAAAGCTAGGATCAATGTTTGAGATGATACTTTGTGAAATTCGGTATTTTAATTACGTTACGACGTCACAAAGATGGCCGCCGGGCTAAAATTGTAGTTTACCATTCCAAAGTTTGGTTCATTTGGAAAAAGTAATAGAATCATACTAATTTTGATTCAGCATAAAGCTAGGATCAATGTTTGAGATGATACTTTGTGAAATTCCGTATTTTAATTACGTTACGACGTCACAAAGATGGCCGCCGGGCTGAAATTGTAGTTTACCATTCCAAAGTTTGGTTTCATGTGGAAAGAGTAATAGAATCATAATAAAGCTAGGATCAATGTTTGAGATGATACTTTGTGAAATTCGGTATTTTAATTACGTTACGACGTCACAAAGATGGCCGCCGGGCTAAAATTGTAGTTTACCATTCCAAAGTTTGCTTTCATTTGGAAAGAGTAATAGAATCATACAAATTTTGATTCAGCATAAAGCTAGGATCAATGTTTGAGATGATACTTTGTGAAATTCGGTATTTTAATTACGTTACGACGTCACAAAGATGGCCGCCGGGCTAAAATTGTAGTTTACCATTCCAAAGTTTGGTTTCATTTGGAAAGAGTAATAGGATCGTACAAATTTTGATTCAGCATAAAGCTAGGATCAATGTTTGAGATGATACTTTGTGAAATTCGGTATTTTAATTACGTTACGACGTCACAAAGATGGCCGCCGGGCTAAAATTGTAGTTTACCATTCCAAAGTTTGGTTCATTTGGAAAAAGTAATAGAATCATACTAATTTTGATTCAGCATAAAGCTAGGATCAATGTTTGAGATGATACTTTGTGAAATTCCGTATTTTAATTACGTTACGACGTCACAAAGATGGCCGCCGGGCTGAAATTGTAGTTTACCATTCCAAAGTTTGGTTTCATGTGGAAAGAGTAATAGAATCATAATAAAGCTAGGATCAATGTTTGAGATGATACTTTGTGAAATTCGGTATTTTAATTACGTTACGACGTCACAAAGATGACCGCCGGGCTAAAATTGTAGTTTACCATTCCAAAGTTTGCTTTCATTTGGAAAGAGTAATAGAATCATACAAATTTTGATTCAGCATAAAGCTAGGATCAATGTTTGAGATGATACTTTGTGAAATTCGGTATTTTAATTACGTTACGACGTCACAAAGATGGCCGCCGGGCTAAAATTGTAGTTTACCATTCCAAAGTCTGGTTTCATTTGGAAAGAGTAATGGAATCATACAAATTTTGATTCGGCATAAAGCTAGGATCAATGTTTGAGATGATACTTTGTGAAATTCGGTATTTTAATTACGTTACGACGTCACAAAGATGGCCGCCGGGCTAAAATTGTAGTTTACCATTCCAAAGTCTGGTTTCATTTGGAAAGAGTAATGATTTGAGATGATACTTTGTGAAATTCGGTATTTTAATTACGTTACGACGTCACAAAGATGGCCGCCAGGCTAAAATTGTAGTTTACCATTCCAAAGTTTGCTTTCATTTGGAAAGAGTAATAGAATCATACAAATTTTGATTCTGCATAAAGCTAGGATCAATGTTTGAGATGATACTTTGTGAAATTCGGTATTTTAATTACGTTACGACGTCACAAAGATGGCCGCCGGGCTAAAATTGTAGTTTACCATTCCAAAGTTTGGTTCATTTGGAAAAAGTAATAGAATCATACTAATTTTGATTCAGCATAAAGCTAGGATCAATGTTTGAGATGATACTTTGTGAAATTCGGTATTTTAATTACGTCACGACGTCACAAAGATGGCCGCCGGGCTCAAATTGTAGTTTACCATTCCAAAGTCTGGTTTCATTTGGAAAGAGTAATAGAATCATACAAATTTTGAATAAAGCTAGGATCAATGTTTGAGATGATACTTTGTGAAATTCGGTATTTTAATTACGTTACGACGTCACAAAGATGGCCGCCGGGCTAAAATTGTAGTTTACCATTCCAAAGTTTGGTTTCATTCGGAAAGAGTAATAGAATCATACAAATTTTGATTCAGCATAAAGCTAGGATCAATGTTTGAGATGATACTTTGTGAAATTCGGTATTTTAATTACGTTACGACGTCACAAAGATGGCCGCCGGGCTAAAACTGTAGTTTATACCATTCCAAAGTTCAAATGAATTTTCAAGCGCCAAATTTCAAAAATTTACCTCTGAAGGTTTGAGAATTTTGAACAAACGGCTCAAAAGTCGAGCTTGACGCTTGAAACGTTCCTCTAAATCAATGTCAATTTCGAATAAAATGAATTTTCACGCGGCAAGTTTCAAAAATTCATGTGGAAGTTTGAGAATATTCACCAGAAATGTCTAAATTCTGAGGTGGCACTTGAAATAGGTACCCCTCAAAATTAAAGTCAATTTCAAATAAAACTTCGCATTAAGTGTTTACTACCTTCATCCCTAAGAATCCTTGTGATAGTGTTAAAACGTACAACTGGGGGTGTGAAAGGTATGAATTGTAAGTTAAGCAGGGATGGTACGTTAGAGGCGCAGTTTATTTTTTATAGGTAGCACATATTTTCTCATGTACATAAAAGTGTCATTGCGAATGTCGTTTTATAAATTATGAGTATGTTGCAACTTGCTTTAATTATGAATTATGAATGGAGAAATGTTTTTTGGATCAACAACAAATTAGTCCAAATTTTGTATCAGATTAGCCTGTGAAATTTTCTTTGGGAAATCCCACGTTTGGTCCTTCTCATGTCTAGACATAGGGGGCACTGATATGTTTGAGGCCTATCCAAGAGTCCGATTGTATCTTTTGTAATCTACCCGACCTGCCACTCACACAATTTTCAGGTACTTAGTAATATAGTTCGACAAGCACCGCCATCAACACAGTCTTACCCTCCGCCGATAACGCAGCAGCAGCCGTACGACGAAGACATGGGCTATCGCACGATGACCCGCGAGGACGTCGCGAGCATACAGGAGAGGCGAATATCGACGTCGCTGATGTCGCCCCAACAGCAGACCTTGCCGATGATACCTCAAAATAATGTGCCTGTAGCACCGGTTATGCCTACAGTTCCGATCGCGCCGAGTCCCGTCTCGCCCCCGTCGGCGACCGCCGGACACCAGCGCACGGCGAGCGCGCCGCCCGCCCCACCGCCGCCGCCGACGGGCGCGCCCGCCGCGACGACGATGCCGATGGGCCCGACCGCCGCGGCGCCGCCACCGCCTCCGCCGCTGCCGAGCAACATCTCGCGGTCGCAGAGCAGCGACGGCGGCGAGATCAACTCGTTAGCGGCGCAGTTGCAGAGCGCACGACTGAAGAGGAACAGCAAGGTGAGACTTTTGACGAACTTCTCGGGTGGTCCTAAACAAGTTTGTTTTTAGAACACACCCCCTCCTACGGAAAATAGTGGATCGTCGACGAGTAGTGGGGGAAGTAGTAATTATGGTACGTTGGGACGCGGAGGAGGCGGTAGTATGGCCTCTATGATGGACGAAATGGCCAAAACTTTGGCAAGGCGACGAGCTGCTGTGAGTAACTCGACGGTTTTGTATACTCTTTACTTCTATCTTGACAAATAGAGTAGTTTATTTTGAGGCGTAGTATCAGCTTAATCAACTGAAAAAGAATTCCATGACCGAATTCTGATCAGAGATTCATTCGTCACTATGAGCCACCCTGGAGATAATAGAAATACCCCCCAACCTCAAACAACATTTTTATTGTCGTATCCAAAAAACCACCATGTAGAGTCTTCTTGTGGTGGGGGGGGGGGGTGGAATACCCCCAGCAATCGATAGTTTAATAGTCCTCTTCAAAAACCCACCATGAAGTTACTAAGGCTTAAAGAACAAGGGTGGGGGAGTGGTGTAAAACCCGCGCCACGTTTTAAGTCTTCTTGTGGCTGGGGGAATACCCCCCCCCCCCCCCCCCCCCGGTGCTACAATCTTTTCAGGTCTTCTTAGGTGAAGAGAATCATCTGATAATTCATTTCCAAAAAGAATAATGAGTGTTACTGGGGGGTGTGGAATCTCCCCCTCCCCCAGCTATCAATAGTTTAATAGTGATCTCCAAAAGTCCACCATGAAGTTACTGAGGCTTAAAGAGAAGGAGGTGGACACTTTCTTTGCTGCGTGGTGTAAGACCCGTGCCATGTTTAAAAGTCTTCTTGTGGCTGGGGGGTATTCCAGACCCCCCGGTACTACGATCTTTTTCCAGGTTTTCTTAGGCGAAGAGAATCTTCTGATGATTCGCTTCCAAAAAGAATCATGAGAGTGTTACTAGGGGGATGTGGAATACCCCCTTTCTTTTTTCTTTTTTCCTTTTTTTTATGTATGAATCTCAAAAATTCAAAAACGTCACCGATTCGAACTATCGACACGTCGGACGTTGCAATTTATCTCAAACGACGCGTTACGGAAGATTTCGTCGAAATACGACGCCTACTTCGCAAGTTGTACGAAAAAATTAAAAACGAAAAAATTTTCGTACTATCCCCCTTCCTTCGAAAAAATCGAAAAAAAAATTGTCAAAAATCGTCGCTTTGTCGATATCGTCTTATGCATTTGGGCGCGGAGATTGCAAAAACGAAAAAAATTCTTATAAAAGATTTACGGTTTCGGCGGTAGAGGGCGCCTTTTGTTTTTCGAATTTTGCACACCTTTACAAAAAAATTCATAATTTCGCCAGTATTCGAGGTATTCGAACGGTCGACGCGGCGATGGAAAGAGGAAGGATGGCGCTATCCTACGACACCTTCACCTCTCCTAAAAAATCGATAGCGTCTACGAGAGAGGACGTCAAAGAAAAAATGAAAGTGTTCATGAAAATGGGCGCAAAATGGACACTTGCCGGTGGAATTCTTGGGACTTTTTATTACTAAACGATTACTTTAAAGGCGACCTTCTATAAATATGCCCCGCGGTCCCTACGGTACGGTCGCAAGCGCTTCAAATCGAAATCGATACGAATACGGCGATTTCGCTGAAAATTTTGATGAAAAATTAATAATTTCTGTTTTTTGCTAAAATCAACTTTAGACTACGAGACTAAGTGAGGGTACAATAAATACAAATAAATAAAAAAAATAATAAATAATAAAATAAAAATAATACCTCCCAGCTATCAATAGTTTAATAGTCATCTCCAAAAACCCACCATTAAGTTACTGAGGCTTAAAGAGAAGGAGGTGAACACTTTCTTAGCCACGTTTTAAAAGTCTTCTTGTGGCTGGGGGGTATTCCATACCCCCCAGACCCCCCGGTGCTACGATCTTTTCAGGTTTTCTTAGGCCAAGAGAATCTTCTGATGATTTGTTTCCAAAAAGAATAATGAGAGTGTTACAGGGGGGTGTGGAAAATACCCCCAGCTATCAGTAGTTTAATAGTCCTCTCCAAAAATCCACCATGAAGTTACTGAGGCTTAAAGAGAAGGACGTGGACACTTTCTTAGCCACGTTTTAAGTCTTCTTGTGGCTGGGGGGTATTCCATACCCCCCAGACCCCCCGGTGCAACGATCTTTTCAGGTTTTCTTAGGCCAAGAGAATCTTCTGATGATTTGTTTCCAAAAAGAATAATGAGAGTGTTACAGGGGGGTGTGGAAAATACCCCCAGCTATCAGTAGTTTAATAGTCCTCTCCAAAAATCCACCATGAAGTTACTGAGGCTTAAAGAGAAGGACGTGGACACTTTCTTAGCCACGTTTTAAAAGTCTTCTTGTGGCTGGGGGGTATTCCATACCCCCCAGACCCCCCGGTGCTACGATCTTTTCAGGTTTTCTTAGGCCAAGAGAATCTTCTGATGATTCTTTTCCAAAAAGAATCATGAGAGTGTTACAGGGGGGTGTGGAATACCCCCCAGCTATCAATAGTTTAATAGTCATCTCCAAAAATCCACCATGAAGTTACTGAGGCTTAAAGAGAAGGAGATGGACACTTTCTTAGCCACGTTTTAAAAGTCTTCTTGTGACTGGGGGGGATTCCATACCTCCCAGACCCCCCGGTGCTACGATCTTTTCAGGTTTTCTTCGGCCAAGAGAATCTTCTGATGATTCTTTTCCAAAAAGAATCATGAGAGTGTTACAACAGGGGGGTGTGGAATACCCCCCAGCTATCAATAGTTTAATAGTCATCTCCAAAAATCCACCATGAAGTTACTGAGGCTTAAAGAGAAGGAGATGGACACTTTCTTAGCCACGTTTTAAAAGTCTTCTTGTGACTGGGGGGGATTCCATACCTCCCAGACCCCCCGGTGCTACGATCTTTTCAGGTTTTCTTCGGCCAAGAGAATCTTCTGATGATTCTTTTCCAAAAAGAATCATGAGAGTGTTACAGGGGGGTGTGGAATACCCCCCAGCTATCAATAGTTTAATAGTCATCTCCAAAAATCCACCATGAAGTTACTGAGGATTAAAGAGAAGGAGATGGATACTTTCTTAGCCACGTTTTAAAAGTCTTCTTGTGGCAATACCCCCCAGACCCCCCGGTGCTACGATCTTTTCAGGTTTTCTTCGGCCAAGAGAATCTTCTGATGATTCTTTTCCAAAAAGAATCATGAGAGTGTTACAGGGGGGTGTGGAATACCCCCCAGCTATCAATAGTTTAATAGTCATCTCCAAAAATCCACCATGAAGTTACCGAGGCTTAAAGAGAAGGAGATGGACACTTTCTTAGCCACGTTTTAAAAGTCTTCTTGTGGTGTGGCTGGGGGGTATTCCATACCCCCCAGATCCCCCCGGTGCTACGATCTTTTCAGGTTTTCTTCGGCCAAGAGAATCTTCTGATGATTCTTTTCCAAAAAGAATCATGAGAGTGTTACAGGGGGGTGTGGAATACCCCCCAGCTATCAATAGTTTAATAGTCATCTCCAAAAATCCACCATGAAGTTACTGAGGCTTAAAGAGAAGGAGATGGACACTTTCTTAGCCACGTTTTAAAAGTCTTCTTGTGGCAATACCCCCCAGACCCCCCGGTGCTACGATCTTTTCAGGTTTTCTTCGGCCAAGAGAATCTTCTGATGATTCTTTTCCAAAAAGAATCATGAGAGTGTTACAGGGGGGTGTGGAATACCCCCCAGCTATCAATAGTTTAATAGTCATCTCCAAAAATCCACCATGAAGTTACTGAGGCTTAAAGAGAAGGAGATGGACACTTTCTTAGCCACGTTTTAAAAGTCTTCTTGTGGTGTGGCTGGGGGGTATTCCATACCCCCCAGACCCCCCGGTGCTACGATCTTTTCAGGTTTTCTTAGGCCAAGAGAATCTTCTGATGATTCTTTTCCAAAAAGAATCATGAGAGTGTTACAGAGGGGTGTGGAATACCCCCCAGCTATCAATAGTTTAATAGTCATCTCCAAAAATCCACCATGAAGTTACTGAGGCTTAAAGAGAAGGACGTGGACACTTTCTTAGCCACGTTTTAAGTCTTCTTGTGGCTGGGGGGTATTCCATACCCCCCAGATCCCCGGTACTACGATCTTTTCAGGTTCAGGATCATGAGAGTGTTACAGGGGGGTGTGGAATACCCCCCAGCTATCAATAGTTTAATAGTCATCTCCAAAAATCCACCATGAAGTTACCGAGGCTTAAAGAGAAGGAGATGGACACTTTCTTAGCCACGTTTTAAAAGTCTTCTTGTGGTGTGGCTGGGGGGTATTCCATACCCCCCAGATCCCCCCGGTGCTACGATCTTTTCAGGTTTTCTTCGGCCAAGAGAATCTTCTGATGATTCTTTTCCAAAAAGAATCATGAGAGTGTTACAGGGGGGTGTGGAATACCCCCCAGTTATCAATAGTTTAATAGTCATCTCCAAAAATCCACCATGAAGTTACTGAGGCTTAAAGAGAAGGAGATGGACACTTTCTTAGCCACGTTTTAAAAGTCTTCTTGTGACTGGGGGGGATTCCATACCTCCCAGACCCCCCGGTGCTACGATCTTTTCAGGTTTTCTTCGGCCAAGAGAATCTTCTGATGATTCTTTTCCAAAAAGAATCATGAGAGTGTTACAGGGGGGTGTGGAATACCCCCCAGCTATCAATAGTTTAATAGTCATCTCCAAAAATCCACCATGAAGTTACTGAGGATTAAAGAGAAGGAGATGGACACTTTCTTAGCCACGTTTTAAAAGTCTTCTTGTGGTGTGGCTGGGGGGTATTCCATACCCCCCAGACCCCCCGGTGCTACGATCTTTTCAGGTTTTCTTAGGCCAAGAGAATCTTCTGATGATTCTTTTCCAAAAAGAATCATGAGAGTGTTACAGAGGGGTGTGGAATACCCCCCAGCTATCAATAGTGTAACGGAAATGCTCCAGACATGACGTCGCCTTTGGCGTTCTGGAATTTTCTACGCGTATTCTAGAATGTTCGGGACTTACATTGCTTGCGTGTATAAATGGTTGCGGACCGAACATCGCGGGAGTTAGTCTACTATCGAACAAGATCGAGCACGGAAATATAAATTTCGAAGTGTGTGATATAAATAATCGATATAAATTGTACGGATTTTATAGTGTTTTAGTTTTGTTTAATAAATATTGATATAAATCGAACCCGAATTTATAAATCACGTTACAATAGTTTAATAGTCATCTCCAAAAATCCACCATGAAGTTACTGAGGCTTAAAGAGAAGGAGATGGAAACTTTCTTAGCCACGTTTTAAAAGTCTTGTGGCTGGGGGGTATTCCATACCCCCCCAGACCCCGATGCTACGATCTTGCCAGGTTTTCTTAGGTGAAGAGAATCTGATAAATTCATTCATTCCCAAAAACTATCATGAGAGTGTTACCGGGGGCTGGAAGGCAATTTTTTGTCATTTCCAAAAACCATCATGAGGATGTTGAGGCTTATTTTTGTTGTCTCTTCGAGGTTTCGGGAGAGTGATTTTTGTCCGGGGGATTTTGGGTAGTGGGGGTTATTGTCCTGCATCGTGGTACTGGTGGGATGTTCTGTAGCTGTGTTCACACTTGTTTTATGTACAGGGTGGCCTTGCAGTTATTTATTAATTGGTGATCGTCATTACAGGTTGAGAAGAAAACTGCGGACATAGAGGAGGACGAAAAGAAAGCAACGTGGGAGAAGACCAACACCTTACCGAACAACTCGTCAAAATACGCCGAATCGCCCAAAAGCGTCAGGAAAAGGTTCGGCTCGGCGTCCGAAGAGACGATACTGAAAGTGAACGGACTGTCGGACAGTATGACGCTCGGGCCGACCGAGCTGGAGTCTCTCAAAAACGACATAGTCAAAGAAGTCAAAAAAGAGATGGCCAAAATGAAGCAAGACATTATAGATGGTAAGTCCGCCTCTTCCTCCCCTTTTTGCCGTCCTAATCGTTTCTAATTGCAGCAATTAAATCGGAATTGAACCGGAGGTAATTTACATAAGTAGCATCAACCGTAAACTCGTCGTCGAAACCATTGACTGTATTATTTAATCCATATTTGCAACGTATTCAACTGTACGTTACTGTAAAAAAATTTTCATGTTTCCTATCGGCTGTTCTGTATATAACGTAATAATTTACGATTTGTTAATGTCTATAAGTAATGGATTGGGCAAGGTTTTGCTTCTAGTCTGAGTAAAGAAATATAATTGACGTATTCCGGTACAGAACAGCTTTTAATATAGTGCTATATAGATGTTATGAATATAGAGCACGTTGTAGTAATTTATTTTAACGATTGATTTCTTGGTGAATCCTGCGCTTCGCGAGGACGCGCCTTTCGCCGCTCACATTCCGTTATGAAGGTCGCGGCGCATCCTCACGAACCTTTCCACGCTGTAAATACTTATCCAATAATAATTTAAGGGACTTCCAAAAACAATTTTATTTATTTTTATTTTATAAACTGTAGCTTAGAAAATAGTCGACGTTAAAGCATCGTGCATTTCTACCCGTAACCTTAAACGTACATTTTTTCGTTTTTAACAATTTTTTAACCGATCGTCATCGCAATCGTTGTGATCATTTGTGCCAATAAAATAATCGCGTGCATCTGTCGTAGAGATGCACGATGCGAGGCCTAAAAGGAGGTGATGCACAATTTTTCTCTGGGGGAAAGACGCGAAGGCGGTGTGTTCGATAGTAATATTGTCAAGTTAAAAATAGCTGCTTAAATTAGTTTAGTGTTCGCCCGTCATGTATACATCGAACAAGAATTCAAAAAAAGAAAAACAAAATTCATTGTCGCATTTTATACGAAACCGTAACATATAATGTGAGGGAAATTTTTTAATGGAAAACTTTGTTTGAAAATCGCCACAGCTTGAAAACGTACGTTAGTAATATTCCGATTCATTTTTATGATAAAAAAAAGAACAATTTGTGATATTTTATCGGCATTTATTTTACTGATGTTTTTAAAATTTATAGTTATTAGTTTATGTGTGGTTTTTCTATGAACATGTTTTATAATAATAATAATTTTGTATTGTGATCTCAAGAGAAGCAAGTTGCACAATGTTGTATTATTTTTAGAGTAACATCGTAATTAACATTGTGTTTCAGATTTTACTATGTATTGAAAGAAACATATAAAAGGACTTGTGTGTGTTTTTCTTCGCAGCTTTGCATCGATTGTTAAATCCGTGGTAAACAGAAATTAGCCGATTTGCCGCTAGAGGGCGATTTTTTGTTTGATTGCAAAAAAGTTACAGGTCGTATAGCTTCGTCGTTCATCAGCTGTTGCAGTATTTGAAACTTGCATTGCTTCTCGCCCCTTTTGCCCCTTGTCCATCCACAAACAGTACAGCACCACGGACGGACGAGTCTGTTTCGGTAGCCTGGGAAGGAGTCTCAATCGGAGATGTTAATTTCAGGAATTCGGCGGTCGGGTTCAGCAAATGGCGGCGGTACTGTTTGCAACTCTAAAACAAAATATGGCCTACCGGCAAACTCCCTAGCGGAAGAAAAGTAATTAGTCAAAAGTTGCGGTTTTATAGCGGGCAAATTCGGGATAACGGGTAAAAACAATTCTCCCTTATGTAATTAAAAAAAAACGGCTTACCTTGGGAAATTAAGCCGCGGTATGAAAAAGGCAATTACAAAGGCACTCAAAAAGATAGATAGATCCTTCCCAAATTGAGCGTTTTCCTTATAAAGAAAACCCAATTTGGTAGAAGTGGAACAGGGAAAATCCAAACCGTCGCGCATTCGATACGAAATCGAAACCAATCAATTCGATTTGTAATTAATTACTCGGCTCTTGTTCGTGCCGAAATTTCCGAGCATCTGGCAATCGATTCGTTAATTAAGTGTGCAAAATTTGAGACCAAAATCTCCTCGGCAGGTGCTTCTTTACTGCAACTCATTTAATTAGTGTATGCTAACTATACAAAGGGCCAAACGGAAGCTCATGAACTCTTAACTGTATGTTAATTATACGTTTTCGGCCACAAAACCGGCTGACGGTTATCAAATTTTTGCAAGCACGCCGCCAACTGATAACGAACAAAACAACTCGCTTCGGAACTTGTTCTATCCTTGCTTTTACTTATTATACTGAGAGGTTCCACCCTGTATATACAACTTACGACGATACATACATTTTTGAGAGTTTGTAACCATGCAATTTCTAGGTGGGAAAAACTGCCTGCGCCATCTAGAGAGCACGAATGGAGGTTACGTTTTGGATCTTGTCTTGAACGGCGGTCATGAACGCGTCGCTCCATAAATGTTTGTTGTCATTTTGTGTTATTTAATGCATGTATTTGTGTTTTGTGTGTCACATTTTATACTTTTTTTTGTGTTTGAATCTTTGTTTTTGAAATTTACTTGGTTTAACCGCAATGCAGAATCACATATGTGATACCGTTATGCTATTGTTTGTAATTGTTTATGTTTTTGGTGTAATGCTCGCTTAATTTATGTTTATTGATGTTGATTACTTGGTCTTGTCCCTGAAGTAACATTCATATAAGTTTGATCATTTTAATATGTAATTCGTTTGATGTATGTACTGACTTCTTTGTAACTAACTATTTTCTCCGTGAATGAATCAGTCACGGGGGTGATAAAAACTGTCAAAATTGAGCTACGACACCTAATTCCTTGATTGTCTTCGACTTTCAACTGTAGGCTCGAAACCAGGGGCGGGTTACCTATATTGCAAGAGCGGGATTACGTTAATCAAACCTCTTCAGTTTAGAATCTATGTGCGATAAATGAGTGGCGATTCAATAATTTCTACATATCCTGTTTTTAGTTAAATTTGCCTACCAAGGCCATGTAATTTTCCATCTTGTCCCTGGTCCATAGTACCTCGTACAAAATTGAAAGAAGTGATCGAATCCCAATTGGTCCAATTTTCTGACTGGCCGGTTTCCGAAAAAGAAGATCCACAATGGATCAAACTTTATAACGAAGCACCCGGAATTTCTGTATTTAGTTTGCCGTTTATGAGGACCACCCTGTATAGTGACGCTTGGTTTGGGCTTCGTTACATAGGAAACCGTAATTACGAGAACTTTCCACGATGGTTGGGTATCGCGTGGTCCGGCCCCCTCCCCAGGAAAATTTTGAAAACCACTAAATATCTTGATCTCAGAACAATCATAAGTTTGTTGTTCTATGGACTGCGTGGTTTAAATCGCGCTCACGCTTTAAGTCCTCTTTGGGGGGGGGGGGGGGGTATGGAATAAAATAAACCCCCTCAAACGATAGTTTTCTTGAAATCTCCAAAAAACCACCATGAGGTTACTGAGACTAAGTACTAAACCCTCGCCCCGCTTTAACCTTTTTTTGACTAGGGTTATTCCATACCCTCCAGACCCTCGGTGCTACAAGCGAACTTATACCTGAAGCTTGGTAGAGCTCCCGTACCTAGCACGTTAGCCCCTATCTGCCACTGAAAGCATGATCACTCCATTATATCCCAATTTGTAAAGTGGGCTTTAGGTGATATGACAGATGAGATAGATTGTTATGGAGAAGGAAGCCGAATTTTGGAATATGTGAGTGGTGACCCAAAAAACTACCCCTTTAAAATGTTATACCATGATCTAAAAGCCGGAGAAGAAAATGTGCCGTGTGGTTTAGAGCAGGGGTGTGTGATACGCTACCTTAGGGTATAAGGTATTGTTTCTATTTTAGTATGTAAATATTAGTGCAAATAATATGTAGTGTAGATAGTCGATACATACGGACTTTGTGGATTAGGCCTACTGGGGATACCACGTTAAAAAAAGCGCGCCATTAACCCTACCTCCTGGGTGGTGTGGAAACGGGTTTGTATTGCATATTTTAAATTGTAATTTTAGATTGTGCTTCTAATGTTTTTCGTTCATTTATTTCTGTATATTGATAATAAATTTAATTAAAACTTGCATAATATTTTTAAATTAAACGTCTTATTTTTGAATTACCCGCCGTTGGCTGCCATTTTGCGGTCAATTAATTCCGGGTTTGAGTAATGCGAATTACATTAATCGAACAGTTAAATTAATAGGCATCGAATTAAATTAATTAGACGAATTTCCGAGAAATCAGATCGATAATTAAATTGATTAATCCGCGAATTAAATGAATGGGACCGCGAATTTAAACTGATCAAAATCCTAGAAATCAATTCGTTAATTAATCGACCATCGGATTAATCTAATCAGATGGTAATCAATTTAATTGACGATGTCACAAATTAAATCAAATGTCAATAAAACACAAAATCATACCAATTTTTAATTAATTAATCAAATCGAATTGCGAAAAATTCCCAGAAATAATCAAATTAAGCTCCCGGAAACACCCTCGCACACGTAGGCGACCCAGCGAATTGATTTAATTCCACTTGATCGACCCCGCGAATAAGATCCAAGATGACCAACAGGTGTCGCTCTTCTACTATCAGCATTCTATGCAAAACGTAAATATTAACAAATTGTGACGTGAAATTCAAAAATTGATCGTGATTATTACTACCAGTAAACACCTTTCAAAGCAGAACAATAGTTATTTATTATACAAGACGATAAAGGGCGATATTTTAATAAATAATTAACTTTCACGAGATGGTTAGTTTCCCTTTATCGTCGTGTATAAAACAAAACTTTATTTTAGAGCAGAAGCCATATAAACCATTCTAAAGCTTCTGCCAGTTCTGAATTTAATTTGGGGACATCAAAAATAGCAAGCCTAGGTTATGCGGTCGCGAACGTTTCCATAGAAACAGAATTGTCATATGTTCGGAACGTCATTTTATATCGTGCATTTGAAATAAGAATGACAGATGTCATTAGAATGCACAATCATTTGTTTCACTTTATCTCCTTGCGGTTAAAGTGATCATTGTATCCATCCTTACGGTTAAAAAACGACTTAGCCGACTCATTCAAACTTATTAAAATGTCAGTTGTCCTATAAAATAAACATTGGGCAAACGTGGTGCTTTGTTTATGACGCTAGTAGGTTACTCGAGGGCTCCGAGTCAAGATACCGATGCTAACTTTCTGCCAAGTTTCGTCTCGAAAACTCGTTGTTCTTTGGCATCTGCTCAGAACTGTCGAAGATGAAGACTTATCATGATTGTGGTATAGGGCGTTTCGTATTTTATTTCATACCTTCATTCTTTCACTTGTAAGGTGAGTTGCCTAACTGTAGGGGTATGTTCACAACACGTTCACAACTGATTTATGTCTTTCCGGCCATTTTTACATCTCTTTAACCACCCTCCTCCGCTAAGTTCACGCCTCCTTTGCAAGATCTCTTTGGGTCTTCTGTTTTCATAGCCACCTTCAAACATTTTTTCCATCATCTTTAGATTTGTATTTTAACGTCTAGTTCAGGCATTCTCCGCTTCCTACCTGACGTCAGCCCTATCTCACCTCCCCTACACGCATCGTTCATGTCATCTCTTCTACACACCCCTCCCCTCAATTAATTTTATTCTTCCCATTCCACTACCATCGACATGTTTACAGTCGCACCTTCCACATGATACCCTTCGTTTAAAGTCTTGTTTGCGCCTTTGCACGTTAGAGGCATCTAAAGAACTTTTCTTGCACTACCGTAGTGTCACCTATCACAAATAGATGGCGATAAAGTGTTGAGCTGTTTCAAAAAATGCGTACGAAAGGAATGTTGAATCAAAAATGAAAAAAAAAGGTGGCCAATCAAAATATTTGGATAGATCTCTTCTACACACCCCTCCCCCCAATTAATTTTGTTCTTCCCATTCCTGATTCCACTACCCCCGACATGTTTACAGTCACACTTTCCACAGACGCTTCGTTTAAAGTCTTGTTTGCGCCTTCTGCACGTTAGAGACATCTAAAGAACTGTTGTTGCACTACCGTAGTGTCTCCTATCACAAATAGATGGCGATAAAGTAGTTTTAAAAAATGCGTACCAAAGGAATGTTGAATCAAAAATGAAAAAAAGGTGGCCAATAAAAATATTTGGATAGATCTCTTCTACACACCTCTCCCCTCAATTAATTTTGTTCTTCCCATTCCTGATT